CCTATTCCATTCCATTCTGTTCTCTTTCTGTTCTGTTCTATTCCATTCCATTCTGTTCTCTTTCTGTTCTATTCTATTCCATTCCATTCTGTTCTCTTTCTGTTCTGTTCTATTCCATTCCATTCTGCTCTCTTTCTGTTCTGTCCTATTCCATTCCATTCTGTTCTCTTTCTGTTCTGTTCTGTCCTATTCCATTCCATTCTGTTCTCTTTCTGTTCTGTTCTATTCTATTCCATTCCATTCTGTTCTCTTTCTGTTCTGTTCTATTCCATTCCATTCTGTTTTCTTTCTATTCTATTCTATTCCATTCTGTTCTCTTTCTGTCCTTTAAAGCATGTTTCTTTCTTTTCACATCCAGAGAAATATTCTGCCTTTTCAATATTTCAATATTTCCTAGGCTATTTCATTTTTCTGGGAGAGGGCTGGATGATAACTTCCCACAGTTTATTCCACATAGCTGGTTTTCCCAGAGTTCAGGATATAAAAAACATACTGCATTGAAAAACTTCCTGTAAGTTATTATAGATATTTGATTATATAAGGGATTAAAACTGATCCAAGCTTTGTGATCAATCTACCTTTTAGTAATAACTAAACCTTTCTCTTTGATAAAGGATAAGAAGTAGAAATGTAAACATTTCTTTTTTTATTGCTCTCCTGTAAAATAAGAATTACTGAGACCAGAGTCCAGGGCTTGGCTTTCTCACAACTCTTAAAAACCAAGTCAAAATAGGCTGCAAGCAGTTTATTCAGGCTCCATTCAAAAAAACTTCTGCTCCAAAGAGGAAGCTGGTTCAAACCTCAAAGAAAAACGTTCTCAGCGGTTGGAATTTTGCATTTTGGCTATTTTTTTATTCTGTTCTGCGTCAATAAAAGTTACCAGGGGAAATAAGATTTTAGTAAATTAGCCTTCTTAAAAAGTTGTCCCATTCTTCACAAGTTGAAACCCAAGGTCCTATCAAAGGAACTTACTGAAAGTTGGTGGTTTTTGAGGAAAAAGCAGGGAAAGAGCTCTAGCAATAAAGACTGGTGCAGTCTGGAGCAAATTCTTGAGCCATGATCCACAGACCAACTAGTTAACCAGAACCTAAATATATCTTTCAAAATCTGGGGAGGAAAAGAAGTCTCACATTCCTCAGTCACAACAGCTGGCAAATTCATTTCCTTAAATTTCATGTTTCTTTGAAGGTACATTTATTTGGTACATTTTAATTCCACAAAGTCATCTAGAATCTGAGGTACAGTCCACTTATCCCCTTCTTCTCACCAGCAAATGTGCTGGTGTAAAATGTGCCACACCATTATTCTTTCAGATACTGAACAGTAAAGTATCGATCCAGAAGTTCCTCTGCAGCCATGCCTTTAATGGAAAGGTACATGTTGCAAAGAATGCCACGGCATCATAAATCAAACAGTAACACAAATAAGCTAATAAACTCTTGTGATATAGATAAAGCCAGCTACAGCGTTCAAGATAATTTTATCTCCATATGTAAAGTAAATAATTTATAGTGCAATTTTGATTCTTCAGGGAACAAAGAGCAGAGATGCCATTCTAAAGAAAGAAAAAGTCAAGGTAAATTCACAAAAAAAAACCATACATTAATATACAATAAAATATCGGAGCATCACAGAAGTGTACATATACACATATATGGGAGTCTTTGTGCATACAGGTGAAAGACATGGATGAGTGTATACTAACAAGAATCTTTACTCTGTAGTGAGATAGAAATATGGTGCAATTCATCAGAACCTTAAGTGGGCATCTACCAGACATTCTAAGGAAAATATAATCTTCACTCTTTCTAACAATAAGTATGTAATAAGAATTAATTAGGTTATTGTTAATGAGGAGGACATGAAATGATTAATGTCAAAGGAAGAAATGTCAAAAAGGAATAACAATTATCTTATTTATCCAGTCTACTCTCCAACTGCACCTACAATTTGCTCACTTTATTGTAATAAAAAAACCTGGGGGGGAAAAAATTTGCGCAGAAAAACAAACAAACTGCAGTTAGAATTAATTTCACAAGTTTAAGTTACACATTCCTATGCCACAAGGTGACAATATTTGTTTAACATCAGGTATGAAAAAAGACAAGTTTTTATAAAAAGGAGCTAGGTCAAAACAGCCTCTCATATTTCAGATTCTCTGGTTAGGGCTCAAATAAAAATTGGCAAGAAGGAGATAATAACATACTTGCCATCCTTAGTGTTGAGCAAAACACACTTACACTAATATGATGCTACTGGATCCTGTAAGGCCATCCTGAAATTTATAAGCAGGAGAATTTGTTTTACTTTACATCAATTACAGTTTAATTAACCAACTTAGAATACAAGCCACACTATGTGACTTTCTAGAGAATAAAACTCTATTCCAGCAGTCTGACTGCTGATCTCAATACATTTAAAAAAAAAAATATCCCACACAATAATTTCTAAATCCCTGAAAATAGCATGTGCCCAAGCTGTTTCCTCATCTCTCAAAATGTCCCACAGTACTTTTCCCAAAAACAATTCTTGAAATAAACATCAATTTTAAAATATGAAATATATTTAAGACACGTGTCTATAAAAGGAGTTACCTACAAGGTTAGGAAAACAAACAAAAATGTGATTTGAATGTTCCGTAACAACATCAGGACAAAGGAATTAAGCACATTTTCACAGGGGGGGAGTGAACAAAACCAAAATGTTTCCCTGAAGTAACATAAATAAGTAGACTGCTGGGTCAACAGTCACTAAAGGAAACTCCTTCTCGTTCCTCATAAGAATGCAATAAAGCAGTTGGGACCCTGGGAACAGAGGATTGGAAAGGAAGGGCTGAGAGCCTACATTCTTTGGAAAAGAACCACAAAGCTACTTCTTGCAGTTTATCTTCCTTCACTGGTCCACTTTCTAATTCTTTACATTCACTGTCTTTCTACGTAAAGGCTGAATCTGACCAGGGAGTGAAAGATGGTTTCTCTAGCTAGTCAGATTCAAAATTGCACCAAAAAGCATGGGGAAGGTTTGATTAAACTCTTGTTTGGTTTTCAGTATGCAATGGCTGTTCCTTCAACAATTTTCCATCACACCTTTTCTTGAGGGGGTGGGGGGGCAAAGTTAGGAAGGGCTGCTGAGTTTTAAAAGTAGAAGGGAAAATGGCTGTGATTGTTCTCTAGAACATGCAGGAGGCAGTGAAATGAAGAAAGAGCTGTGATGAACAAGCACACAGCAAGATCCTTTTTTCCAGTGTTGCTACTCAACCAGAGGCAAGTTCCGTTCCTCAAACGCGCTGAATTTCAAATAGCTTTACATCTGTGTCATACCAGATAGGGGGATCCACATTCCTAAAGAGAAAAAAGATATTCATTCCCTTGTACATAACATAAACCTCAGGGTGGATCTAAGAAAGCCAGCATGTTTCCAGCACTTTTTTACACATGGAAGCAAGCAAAATCAATAGACCCAGCGATATAGAAAAGGAAGCTATTTAACAGACAGCCATTTCTAATGACATTTTTAGGCTAGGTGAATTCATCAAATTCATTTGTTATCTATAATATGTCTTAGCACTAATGTGGTCTTTAAAAGGTATAATGTCCATCAGAGTAACCAGGCTAGAAAGCAGGAGGCCTATAGTTCTAGTTCCGCCTTAGGCATAAAAGCTAGCTGGGTGACTTTGGGCCAGTCATTCTCTCTCTCAGATCAGCCCACCTCACAGGGTGGTTGTTGTGGGTAAAATGGAGGATATATTCACTTCTTTGAATTATTTGGGAAAATAATAAATATAAGACAAATGTCCTGGATCAGACAAAGCCTATCTTAATCCAGCATTCTGTTCTCACCCTCTCTTCCTTCCCAGGGCTAAGGAGATGATTATGTAGCCGTTCTTGCATGCCTTCTTCAAGTTTATCTTCATATTCTTCTTCAACAGGGGTGTCAAACTTATGACGTCGTGTTGTCATCACATGACCTATTGTGACTTTTTTCCCCCCTTCACTAAAACAGGGGTGGGATGGCCAGCGTGTGATGTGTCGGGTCCACGGGCCACAAGTTTGATACCACTACTCTACAACATGTAACTAATACTGTAAACATTATCCTCCCATTATCTGAATATCATTTACCCTGGAGTTGATGTTTAAATTAAAAGTGAGCAAAGATACCATACATGATTTTCCAACTAAGGAATCACATCTGATGGTATTCTAAAGTTCAATTTTGTTTTTCAATTTAAATTTTATGCACTGATTTCAACGAATACTACAAAGGTAAATTAAAATGAAAACAAGATGGCAAAACAACCTAAGATTCAGGTTCAAAGGCAACTGAAATAAATTGGGAACAAGTTACATATTAATTGAATAGCACACTTCTGCACTTCAATGTACATCCTCTAATTAAATTCCAGTATGCACTGAGATCATAGCTCAGACGAGAGAGGAATTAACAAGCATATAATTTCTCTTTCAGTTTAAATGCAGCACTTAAATCAGGGGTGGAATTCACTTACTTTCCCTACCAGTTCGTAAATGTGAGCATGTGCTTGGCCTTCCGCGCATGTGTTTTGATAACGCACATGGATTGCATTCATGCATGCAGCTTGAAAACGTGCCTAAATAGGATGGCATAATGGCAGGTGGGCGGGATTTCCACTACTGGTTTGGGCGAACCGGTCCAAACTGGATGAATACCACCTCTGATTTAAATCCAATATTACAGGGCCTAGTTGAAAATGGTTACCCTTTTTAATTTTTAACTGCCTAATAATAACTTTAAAACCTCCTTTTCATAGGTGGTTCACATCTTACAATCAATCTTTTAGTGACAGTTTGAAGCTACAACAGCACTGAAGAAAGTGACTTATGGCCATTTTTCACACTTACAACTGTTGCAACTTATGCTAATGTCTTGGGGTCATGTGACCTTTGGTGACCTTTTTACAGGAAAAGTCAATGGGGAAATCAGATTCACTTAACAGCTGTATTGCTGACTTCATAACTGCAGTAATTCTCTTAACAACTGTGGCAAGTACACTACACTTGATCTTAGCCAAAAGGCCGAGAAGCGATTAACTGTGGCAAGAAAGGTTGTAAACGGAGGCAACGCTCACTTAACAACTGTCTTGCTTAGCAATGGAAACTTTGGGCTTAACTGTGGTCGTAAATCAAAGACTACTTTTATTTTTTTGTCAAGTGTTCAGATCCTAATTCATTTCAGCACCCAATGCCTCTTACTTTCAGTGAGTAAAAAGAGTTTGGTCACTTTTTACTAAATATCAAATAGTTTATTAAAAAATGAAATGTCACTCCGTATCAGTGGTGGGTTCCGGATCCCGTTCCAACAAGTATGGTTGGAACAGGCCCAGTGGCGTCCACATGGATGCGTGCAGCTTGCATACATGTGTGCGCAGCGCACGCATGCTTTGTACTTGCCAGTGATTCCTCCGCAAGCCTCCGCGACGCTCCAGCTACTCGGTGGAGTGGCGGGCAGGAGCTGCACACACCATGCACGTGCACAGAAGCGCCAAAGGCTTTAAAGGACAGGTAAGGAGCTCAGGTGGGCGGGTGGCCCCTCCGGAGCACCGTACTGGAACGGTACCCGGTGCTCGGGGCACCGCCTGCAATCCACCACTGCTCCGTATGTACAACCAGGACCCTTGAGAATCAACAGAGTTTGAAGAAAGAGTAATATATGCTGTGTATTATATAAATCAGCAGCACAAAAGTAATGCAAATTCCATTCAGTGAATTATCCTTCTAGGTGATACTGTAAGGGTATTCTGTGATTCTAACCACTGAATTTAAAGACCAAGCTAAACCTCAGGCTAATACGTCTGACTCAAAAAAAATGTTCTCATTCAGCATGCTAATGATAAGTAGAAGGAAATTGGGTAGCAGCCTGCTAGCTTACCTCAGATATATAACTCCCCACATATAAGTGCGGAACCACATAGCGGTACCAGAATTAGCCTGGTATTTCCGGATCAGGATGGGATGAGGGACAGGAAGGAGCCCCACCAATGTGCCATGTTGCAAGAATTTCAGAATCTCGGATTCATCTGTAAGGCCCCTGCAGACAGTGAGGACACATTTATCTTTACAATGCACTGCATCCCCTCTAGTGCAAACTACAGACAATTGGACATACAGGTTTATGGAAACATAGAAAATTGACAGCAGAACAAGACCTAGTGAGCCATCGAGTCTGCCCTTTGAGATTATTTTACTTAATTTTTGATGGACGTGTTCTTATTTTTGCTTAATATTTATATTATATGATATTATACAGTAAAATACATTATAATTGTCAGACCTGGAAGCCATCTTTTACATTTGGGCCACATTTTCCACTGTAGGAAAATGGGAGAGAGATTATATGGAGTATGGGTGATATATAGTCAAAATAACATTCTTTTCTCAGAAAGTCAAGGTCATCTTGCGATGAGGTGATTGGGAGGCATCTTCAGTTTTGGATGGTGCCTGTTTGGGCCATGTGATGGACATGGGGGTGCTGGGCAGGGACCTGGACTTTCATTTGGGTGGGGAAAACCTGGAAACTTTCAGATTCAGGTTTTCCCAGATGTGCCAATATGACAACTTTAATAAAATGGAACTTTGAGAAAACTCAGTCTTTGGACACTTCTTTCATTGGGGGTGTTACTTGAAACCCTGACAATCGTTTATAAACTTAGATTAGATTAAGGCTGTCCAAGTTGCAGACTTCAGATTCTCCAACCAGCCATAGATTAGATCCTTCCATAACAAAAACAAAAGGGTGATTATGAGAAACCACAAATATTCTCCAGCATTCTCAGGAAATCTTACCAAATGTTATCCATAAATATTCACTCATTCTCTCTCCTGAACACTCAGAAATATTTGGGAGTCTTTGGTGCTTTTAGAGAACACCAATCACAAGGAGAACTTAGGACTCACAGTTCAACCCTGAGCTACATACTGTATATATTGTCTTCTATTCATACAAGAACATTAGTTTGATTTAGCAACAAACTGTTTATCATTCTATATCACAGTGGGGATGTCAAACTACATTTATTCATGAAAATGCATCAGAGGATCACTGCATTCTAGATCACAGGCACAGGAAAGGATATTCCAACCTATTAAATGAAGCAAGGCTCCAATTCAATTAGGATGTGATATTTTTTTAATGTTGCAATCGTTCCAACTTCTGACTATTTCCAAAGAAACAAAAGAGCTTCCCCTTTCCAACTCACACACCCACGAAACAAGAGCCACCATGGCGCAGTGGTTAGAGTGCAGTATTTCAGGTTACTTCTGCTGACTGTTGGCTGCCTGAAATTTGGCAGATCGAATCTCACCAGGCTCAAGGTTGACTCAGCCTTCCAAGGTAGGTAAAATGAAGACCCAAATTGTTGGGGGCAATAGGTTGACTCTGTAAATCGCTTTGACAGGGCTGTAAAGCACTGTGAAGTGGTATATAAATCTAAGTAGTATTGCTATTGCTATGCATATATTCAGATTCCAAGCCTTCTGGAAATGTTATGTCTGTTGTTTCCTTCCATGAACAATTTTGTTTTTCAGAATGTTTACTAATAGCCAAGGCAAAATAAACTTTTCCTATTTATTACTAAGGTAACAGAGATGTGCCCATTAGAAAATCAATTAAATATATAGTTTTAAAAACCAAGGGGTCCATATAGCTCTTCTTTATTAATTCATTTGTTTTGGTGATATGATATGATCTCCTTGGTTAAGGAATATTGAACTGTTGCATTATGTGTAACAAGGGTCACCATCAGTCTATTTTATCATTAAGTGTGTTTTACGCTTATCTCATTTAAAACGTTATTTTAATCATCACCATGCTCAAATGGTAAATGACTTTCATTAGAACCTGAATAGGAGGAGTCTTTTTATGCCTCTCACTGGCATGCAATATCATCAACCACAATATTCTTTTGGACCACCTGCAAAGACATGAAGCACCCTTTAAGGGTGATTTCACTCCTTGAGTGGGCATCTCTAACCAACAGTCATTAAGGGAAAAATAGTTGAGTATATAGATGATCCAATAGGGCTCAGGGCCTTTCCTCCATGCCATTTCACTAACACACATATACACACATCAGAGGTGGGTTCCTGCCAGTTCTAACAAATCTACAGTGCCATTTAGAACCAGTTCCAGCTCCCTCCCCCCGCCCGTCTGCATATCATCAAGATGAAGAGCGAGAGGAATTCTGGGAGTTGAAGTCCACAAGTCTTAAAGCTGTCAAGTTTGAACACCCCTGGGTTTTTTTTTCTAAAGGGTTAGGGATGCGAGGGTCCTGTAACTTGACTGCTTTAAGACTTGCATGCTTCAAATGCCAGAGTTTCTGAGCTAACATGTTGGTTGCTAAGCAAGAGCGTTGTTAAGTGTGTTTCACCGCATTTTACAACTTGGCCACGCCCCCCCAGTCACATGGCCGGCAAGCCATGCCAAAAAGCAGGCCACACCTACAGAAGAGGTTCTAAAAAAATTTGAAACCCACCACTGACAGACATGCATACAATATATAGTATATAGCGTATAGCGTATAATGAATAGCATATAATAACGGGGTATAACAGTCAGCAGTTGGTTTGGGATGAGGTACCATGTTAATAATATTCAACTGTATGATGCCTTCCAAGCTTTGGCAGCAATGTTACAGAGATCTGGATGTTGTTTAGAGCAAAATGTGTTCAAATTAACTACTAGCAAAGTAGATACACCATTATATACATTTGGCCTGCCCAGAAACAATGTTTCCAGTGATAGTATGACTTGGAAGTTTATACAATAATACAATAGCAGAGCTGGAAGGGATCTTGGAGGTCTTCTAGCCCAACCCCCTGCCTAGGCAGGAAACCCTATACCGTTTCAGACAAATGGCTATCCAACATCTTCTTAAAGACTTCCAATATTGGGGCATTCACAACTTCTCAACGTTTGAATCCTGCTAAAAGAGGAAATGGTGGCCCCGTTGCCAAGCTTAGGAAGGAGCACCAGTTCCAAAGAATAATCAGACCCCAACAATAAATACTCATCCACTCATCACTGCATTCCTTAGCTGATGCAATGTGCTCTCTACGAGATCCTTTGAAAATACGTTTCAGTCTGTACAGGATAGAGTAGCCTGTACTGCAGAATGCTGATAGGTGACTCAACATTGCAGTATTTCTACTCTTGGACCACTACACTGGTTACTGGCAACCTTCCAGGTCTAATGTAAAGTGCTATAAAATCCTTTGCAGTATAACTCTGAATTGTTTCTGCCCACTCTGTGAGATCATCCAAAGGGGTCCTGCTCCAAGAGCCACACTATCCAGAAATAAAGGAAGCTGTGGATCAGAAGCTATGTTAATCTATAATTTTAAAGACCCTTCCTACAGGTATATGCCTGGCCCTATTCCATCCCCAATAGGATTTATATGCACTGAAATGTGATTTTAAAATACTAAGAGTAACTAATTGAAAATATTGAGAACCAGAGTAATGTAGTAGTTAAGATGCTGGCCTAAGAGCAGGGAGATCCAAGTTCTAGGACTTCATAGGACACAGAACTGGCTGAAAGATTTCAGATCAGTCACTCTTTCTAAGGCCTAGCCTGGAAAGAATCAGCCACCCATGTTGATTATGGCCCTCAATCTTCAACAAAGAGGACTTGATCTTACAGTGGATTGTTTGAGGTTGAGGAAGAGCACCAGGAGGAATGATTCTAAGTTGTTCTTTTAATTTTTTCATTTCATTTGTTTTGCTTAGTACTCTTATTGTTGGCATTTGTCACTGGATGTTTTATTTTGAATATTGTTAATGAATTAAAAAAGAAGTACAAAGACGTCCTATGTAAAATCTTTGACTTGACTTTGTTAGTCATTAATGCTTCATTAAGGTAAAGGTTCGCCCAGAAATGCATGCTAGTTGTTTCCGACTCTAGGGGGCGGTGCTCAGTGGTGGGTTGCCAATTTTTTTACTACCGGTTCGGGCGCACTCCTGTGCAACGCTTCTGCACATGCACAGAAGCGTCTGGCCACAGCCTCCTGCCACCGCTACTACCAGTTCACCCAATCCAGGCCGACCAGCAGCAACCCACCTATGGCGGTGCTCATCTCCGTTTCTAAGCCAAAGAGCCACAGCTGTCTGAAGATGTCTTCGTGGTAATGTGGCTTGCATGACTCAATGCCAAAGGCACAGGAAGCACTGTTACCTACCACCAAAGTGGTCCCTATTTTTCTACTTGCATTTTTTTTATGTGCTTTCGAACTGCTAGATTGGCAGAAGCTGGGACAAGTAACAGGATCTCACTCTGTTATGCAGTGCTAGGGATTTGAACCGCTGAACTGCCGATCTTTCTGATCGACAAGCTCAGCATCTTAGCCACTGAGCCACTGAGCCACTGCATCCCTTAATGCTGCACTGAAGTACCATAAAGTTGCAGGGCCAGAATTTGGTAGCAAAACATCCAATTTTTAACTTAGTGGCAGCGGCCAAACATTCTGTTGCTATCGGATTGAGAGTCTGGAAGATACTCTAACATGAGAAAGGTTAATACATTTGTTCTCTGGAAAGCATGCTATCTAATGGTCAGAAACAGTTATTCATCAAATAGCAATAGTTGAATGGTGCAAGGGCCAAGATCTTAAGTAGGTGCTGCCATCCAGTGGTCAGAAGCAGCAATGAACCAAATATTCTGTCTAAAAGGTTTAAACGTTTCCTCTGTCCAGTTGTGACCAACTCAAGATAACAGTGCTCATCTCTGATTCTTAGCCTAGGGAGCCTACATTGTTTGAGAGATGTTTCCATCATCATGTAGCCAGCATGAAAATGTTACCTTCCCTACTCACATTTGTATGCTTTTGAACTGCTAGGTTGGCAAGCTGGGGCAAGTAACGGGAGATCACTCTGTCGCACAGTGTTCAGGTCTCGAACCTAGGCTGTTGCCTTTCAAGCTGACAAGCTCAGCATCTTAACCGCTGAGCTATCCCACCCTTATCCTGTCCTACAGTAGGCCATAATTTCACTAGGAAAGTGAAGGAGCCAAGAATCAAGATTCTAGATGGCATCTGTGGTGTATGTTCCCACTGATGTATTTCCAAAGAGGGACCGTAGGAGTTGAATTAATCTCTAAGCCTTTGTAGTTCTGCAACTGCCATTTTTATAGATCCCAGAAATTTGGGCATTCTTTGACAATCCTCCAAGACAGGAAAGACTTGCAGGACAGTTTGTATAGTTTGTCTGGTGTTATCTAAGATGTATAAAGATGTGTCAAATGTATGCAGGAAGTGTAAAAATAAAGAAGGGTGGGCATGTGATAAAGCAAAAAAAATGGACTAGGATTCATATTTCAATACAGAACATTCTGAAACTGGAGATAAAAGGAAACCAGAACTTTTCCTCTTGGGTCTAATGGAAAAAGAACTGGAGAAAAACATTGGAACTTTGTTACTACATATGTTGATAGCATTAAGACTATTTATTGTATGCACAAAAATGGAAGGATACTTTGATTCCTACCATGGAAGAATGATAGAAAGTTGCAGAAGTTGATGGAGTTGGTTGAAGTTGATGAAGTTGCAGAAGTTGATGGAGTTGGCTGAAATGGCAAAACTGACTAACGATTAAAGAAAAGAACGTGAGTGCTTTTGTTTCCACATGGAAATGGCTTCTGAACTTCATGCTTGATGTGGAAAAGAATGAAACTTTGACTTTGGGTTTTACAGATTAGATTGATAGATCGTTATAGAAATGACTTATTCATACTATTATGGAAAAGCAAAAAGCTGTGATCTGTTGTTAAAGCCTAGTTCTACTGTAACAGAGAGAGTCGGAAGTCAATGCTTTTCTTTCTTTTTCCCCTATCTTTCCTCACTTCCCCCCCCTTTCCTCACCCTCATTGCTCTTCTATTTGCTTTTGCATTTTATAATACTTTAGAACTTTAAAAAAATGGAAGATTAAAAAAAGGAAAGACTTGCAGGACAACTATGGTTGAGATATACAGGTCATACTAGGCAAGTAGAAGATGAGATTCCTAGTGCAATCTCAGTTTCTATGGAAGATCATGATTAGCTAATGAAACCTTTAGGACAAGCTTCAGCTTCAAACCAAGAAATAATTTCCTCATTGTTGCTCTCATTAATCTGATAGCGTAGTGCACCTAGTCTTCATATGTATGAAAGTTGTTCCTTTTCCCACAGAAAAGCTGAGGGAAACAAAGTTTGGTGGAATAAAGAAATAATGAAGTAGAAAAATATTAGGCTGCATATGGTTAAAAAGTGTGATGTAATGTGTACTTGCCGCAGCAACAGCAAGGGAGAATTTTTTCCACTGGGAGTGTTCCCAGGAAGAGACGAAGATCAAAAGATGGAGAGATTCCAAGCTGAAGTGGGAAACAATTCAGGATAGCCACACCCTAGAATTTTTCAGGATATAGCTAGTAGCATAGAAAGTTATAGCTTTCTATAGCTGGCAAGATTCTGTCTATTATTTTATTTTATTTAGCTTGTCAAACATGTAAAAGATAACAGGTATAAGTATAACCATAAATATGAACATGAGGAAATAGGTACGAATAAATGGAGACAATAGGACAGGGATGGTAGGCACACTGGTGCACTTAAGCATGCCCCTTACAGACCTTTAGGAATGGGGTGAGGTCAATAGTAGACAGTCTTAGGTTAAAGTTATGGGGGTTTGGGGATGTAACAACAGAGTCAGGTAGTGCATTCCATGCATTGACCACTCTGTTGCTCAAGTCGTATTTTCTGCAATCGAGTTTGGAGTTTGAGTTTGTATCTATCGTTTGCTCGTGTATTATAGTGGTTGAAGCTGAAGTAGTCATTCACGGGTAGGACAGTGTAGCAGATAATTTTGTGTACTACACTTAGGTCAGAGCATAGATGGCGTAGTTCTAGGTTCCCCAAGCCCTGGCAGCGTCCTCATAGATACGCGCAACGCACGTATGCGTCTTACCACTTCTGCGACACTCCGCGATGCTCCAGCTGCTCCATGGAGCATCACACAGGCGCTATATGCGCCATGCACGTGTGCGGCAGCGCAGAAGCTTTAAAACACAGGTAAGGAGCTCGGGCGGGCAGGTGGGTCCTCCAGAGCAATGTACTAGAACGGTATCCGGTGCTCCGGGCTGGCTCCGGTATACCCGTACCGGGGCGTACCTCCTGCAACCCACCCCTGGAATGGACTCAGTTGGACTTCATTGTGTCATTTCTGGACTTTGGGTTGATAAGAAGAGAGAGATGGCTCTGTTTGAGATGAAGAAAGGTAATGGAAGTGGGTTGAATTAAAGGTCTTGGTTATCTGAGCTCCACTTTCCTGAATCAGCAGAGAGATTAGTCTGTTATCTGAATGCCTCCTCATACTAAAATGGAAACAATATTGTTAAACATACTATTTAAAAATAAAACCATGATGTTTTGGGGACTACTGCTTGAACACCCAAATTGTGCTTGTGCATATGCAGACAGCCATAAGGATAAAGATCATAAAGAACATCAACTAATGTTAGGATCATATGCATGACCTATGATCCAAAGCCCTGAGTGTCTTAATTGGTAGGATTTAGGTAACAGTATGTTAACTTGCAAGGTAGATACAGATTAGATATCACAGCTTCCTTTGAATAGCATAAGTGTCTTTGAAGTTCAAATTGGGTTTTGGTTTTGCTTGTAGTTACATGTCAAAATGTATCCAAACTAACCAGCACTATAGTTAGAAATAGAATGTAATACTGCATGGAGGACAGGTGCAACAAAGGCTAGTAACACAATCTGTATTTTTTCTATTTTACCAAAAAGCATTATGTGAAAGCCTCAATTGACCAAAGCCATGATGGGTAGCATGTATGGCATATCCAGTGGTGTCTATGGCCTATGAAAATCACAACTTGAAAGAACAGAGTGAATCATAAAGAGCACAAAGTGGAGGAAAAAATGGAACGATATAATAGATTTGAAAGAATGTGGCCTGATACTGTGGTATGGAATTGATGAATATATGCAAGCAAGTGAAGGTACAGCTTTAATAATGAAAGAACTAAATATTACATACTTACCTGAAAGTATGAATAACTATAGGAAAATATCAAAGTATAAGTCAATAATTGGTGATAATTGCATGTTACACTCCAGTTTAATGGTGACAATGGGACAACTGGAGATTTAGTTTGGGGAACAATTTTGCAACCTTCTCAGTAAATTAGACCTAAAGGAAAAATATTCTGTTAAGTGAGAGAAAATGGTGAGAGAAAAAGGTGAATGGGCCATTAAAAAAAGCATTAAAAAATAAGAAAAGGATATTCATGTTTTATGTACATGGTTTAAGCATAAGTCTTCTAATATTTGTATGCGGCAAAGGAAAATAGAAACCAAAAAGTGTGATGTATCCTATGAAAGACTGAGGGAATTAGTGAAGAATGTAAAGGTAAGGAGAAGTTTTGAATGTGGAACCATCTAGTTTTGAGATTAGGCTCCCAGAAAGGGAAGGGAAGCACGCTGACTATTGTGAGAGATGAGTATTTATCAAAAAAGGTAAAAATGGCTCCTTATAACAGCATGGTTCTCTCCACTTTAGGGAAATGGACACACATAAATATAAATAGAATACAGGGAATGGAGTACTTAAAATCTGTGGAATAAAACAGGATATGATAGGATCAAGTTTGACTTTATCAGGAAGATAAATGCATTACAAAAATTAGTGACTGTAGAAACAATATTCATTAAGGCTGGTCATATGCAGAGTGAATGAGGATCAAGGTGCAAACAAACATGAAGAAAAAAATAAATGGATGGTGAGAAAGGAAGGAAAGGTCAAGAGAGTAATGTATAGACAGATCTGAGATCTGCCAAAAGAGCAATATGAAACATTTAGAGAACAAAAGACAATGTATGTAGCAGTATGTACATAAAATGGAAGCAAGTACAATTTATAAGGCTGGATAGGTATGGAGATGTATAGTGAACGGTATTAGTGTAAACCATTTCCTTTTATTTTTCTTATGCATTTAATGTCTTTTACTGGTGAGTTCTTACTCCTTTTATATGCTCTGCATAAAGTAGCTTATTATTATTAAAGGGGATAAATTCCTTGTGCGTCCAATCACATTTGGCTAATAAAGAATGTTTTGTTCTATTCTATTCTATTCTACCTACGCTACACTACTCTACTCTACACTTTCTTATCCCAAAATAGAAAGCTGTGATTGCTTTGTCCTTATGCATGAGCCAATCAACCCAATTCCACAATAATAGTCTTTGTTTATTTTATCTGTAGAAATGTGAAAAGAGGATAAGACTAATTTTATTACAGGAATTATGTTTAGTACTCAATAAGAAAATTCATACCACCTTATAATTCCCACTCATCACCACCACCACCCGGATAGCTCTATCTACAAGATTTGTGGCACTTACTTGTCAATACAAATCTTCTCTACCTGGGGAACCAGGACCTGCAATAGCCTCATGATTGTCTGCAGGGGCAATTTTGATTTCCAAGACACCACCTGCAAAGGAAAAAGATAGCAGTGAAGAGCTAAGAGTTTAAGCCAACTCAGCAAATCAATACCTGACAGGAAGGCTTTCATTCAGATGAAAAAAATGCATCCAAATCTGTCTCTGTTCACATAAAGCAGCACTTAGAATTATATATGTTAGGAGTATAATCTAACGGTTGGGTTGGCAATATATAAATCATGTAACAATGCTATACCTGTTTCTTTAAATCATACTGTAAAATGTGATTGGTTGCTGTTTCCTCAATTGGCCATTAGAGGGAGCCAGAATGACTGTTAGCTCTCTGTTTGTTAGATGCTGGGCTGATCTGATCTGATCTGAGTGTTTTGGAAGCTGGCTGTTAGAAAGTGCCGTGAGCTATTGTAAGTTTTGCAATTGCTAGCAAACTTTGAGTACCAGACTGTTTGTATGATTATGGACTAGGTTATTTAGATGATCCCTTAACTGAAAAACGTTGATGACTGA